AAGGCCGTACGCAAAGAGCAAGGGGCACTGGACGCCGCCGTAGAACAACAGACCGTGAAGATCGCCGCCTAAGATTATTGGCCTTAAGGGACCGTTTCTCCACTACCAGGTCAATTGCAAATGAATGGTTTGCAGAACACGGAAGACCTATTGGCATGCGAAGTGTTTACCGACGAATGAGAAGTTTTGGCTTGTTTTCATACCGGCCACACTGGGTCCTCCCTTTAACTCGAGAACACCGACGTAATCGCCTTGAGTGGTGCAGACAACGGTCACTCTGGGATCAGGAATGGAACAGTATTTTAGTGACGAGTCTCGATTTTGTTTAGGCATGCACGATGGTCGTGCCAGGGTTAGAAGGCGACGTGGTGAAAGGAGGAATCCACAGTTTTTTGTTGAAAGATATGTTCATCACACTGTTGGAATTATGGTTTGGGGTGCTATAGCTTATGGTTCCAGGTCACCTTTAATCTTCATCAGAGGTAACATGAACGCGCAGCGTTATATCCACGAAGTTCTAGAACCCCATCTTTTACCCTATGTTGACACCCTGGCAGATCCAACTTTCCAACAAGATAATGCCCGACCACATGTTGCAAGAGTCACAATAGACTTCTTTCAACATAATGATGTCACATTGTTACCATGGCCACCAAGATCTCCCGACTCATCCCCAATTGAGCACGTGTGGGATATGATGGGTAGGAGATTGCTCAATTTGCAACGTCCTCCTCAGACTCTAGAAGCACTTCGAGAGGACTTGGTGGTTGCCTGGAATGAGATACCACAGGAGGACATTGACCACCTGATCAGAAGCATGCCTAGGCGCGTTAGAGAATGCGTAGCACATCAGGGTGCATCCACACATTATTAAAGGTCAAAGAGCTTTAAAGCAGTGCAATCATTTTGAAATTTTTATCATTTACTTATTATGCTTCATTAAGTACTTATACAAAATTTTATTAAAATAAAACCATTTAAACTGGGTGTTCGGATTTATATGTCACTTAGTATATTTGTTTCAGTCTTGCTTGAATTTGGAGTTCATGCTATTTTACGTCTATCGCAGACGACCACAAAAAGGCTGGTGTACGAGGGATGTGTTTTAAGTTTTGCATCTAGAAACATAGTGGGTCGCGCGGATCGAACGTCAGTACTGAATCTTGACCTCGCTCTTTAGTAAACTTAAATTCAAAGTTTCACAACGGTGTTCTCACTACAGTGTCACCAAGTCATTAGAAAAATGGAAGTCAACCGAGAACATTTCCGCGCCATAATTTATTACAACTTTCAGAGACAATTATCGCAACAAGAATGCCTTGCTGAGTTACTGTCTGTTTTCGGCAACGAAGCGCCACATCAGTCCACAATTTCCCGTTGGTATGGAGAATTGCCATTAATTATGATCGATTGTTCGACCATCAACTACTGTAATATAAACTCTTTGTAATTAAAAATTATTTTCTACTTTTTAGTTCGGTTAGCTATAAAAGCGTATTTTTTTAGTTTTTGTAACTATTATTTATCACAAATAACGATAAACCAGGAAAAGATAGCACAAATTTATAATCTTGTTTAAAAAGGTAGTTCAACTATTTAATTGTTTCTATTTTATTTTATGATAAAAAAGTAGTTCTGTCGTGATGACTACAGTATAATCAAAATGGGTCCGAGGAAAATGCTTTTTTTATCGAAAACATACTTAATAATACTTCCGAAATTTGAAAGCAGTTTTGAGTTAGTCTCCAAGAACTACTGATTTAACAAGTTTAATCGATATTTCTTAATTTTTGAAGTAGATATAAGCTAATTTGAGAATGACCCGATTAATGGTTTTTTGCAATAACCTTTCTGTGAATGTATCGATTGACAGCAGCGTTCTCAGATTGTCTTTTGCCAAAAGCTACATACCTTTTACACGAAACAATTTTTTGTATAAAGGTCAGTTTGAAAAATACGAGCAGAATAACGTTTTTTTTTTCATTTTTGACCATTGCTTTTTGAACCACCGTATTCTTGTTTTTTTTTCTATATAGTCTCTTTCAACCTTTAATTTTGGCAAAAAATGATATACTTGACATAATTTGCTTTGAGTATAAACCTCAATAACAGGCTCTTGAGCTTGGCGAGGTAAACACCGCATCTCTATGTAGAGGACTTAACGATCCCAGCGCACTTGTGTCTTGGATTTTCTTGATTGATGCTTGAAAAGGTAGAAAATGATAAGGTTCCAGATACTTAACATATCTAATCTCTCTTATACTCTCTTACTGGGGTGCAGTTTATTACTCGTGCATCGGTGGTGCAGCTAACAACAGGATGCGAAGACTGCAAGGCAGTTGTTTTTAGTTCAAAGAAATATGATCATATTCCATTAGTGATCTGGGTTATTTATGTATGGACAATGCTTACAAGTATCAAGTGCTTACTTTGACTCAAAATATCAACTACACAATCCCCTGTTAATCTTGATAAAATAAATTGTAGCTCGCCGTCCAAGCACGGATTTTAATTTCAGATTTAAGAATCGCCTAGAAATCCCTCATTACAGTACATTTTTTGTCTGTCGTTTATTTACAACTTCATAAAAATATATAACGGTGCAAGTGGTCATTTTAAAACTCTGTCGGTGGTATGAAAAAACAAGCCGTCAAACAGTTTCTTCTACATCGATTGACTCAATTTATTCTTTTATTCCATTGTATTTTGCTTTTAATCCATTCATTGTGGTTTAATTTCATAGTATTTTTTTGTCTTTCATATATATTTATAGAATTTTTAAATGTGTCCCAATGTTTATATGTTAATATATTCTATTCCTCTTAGTTGATGATATTGTTATTGTAGGATGAGTGAAATAGATTTATCTAGACTTCGCCTCTAAGGAATAAGATCTGGTGTACATTTGTTTCCCAATAAATATCTTGTATTATTATTATTAAACATGGAGCGCCGTCTGCTTTGGTCTGTGTCGGGGCTATGGGGTCTGACTAAAGAACTAGATTTGGTTTTAGTGTTTCAAGTCTTGTAAATGAGAAACTACAACAGTGGCGACGCGTGACTTTTCCTAAACTTTTACGAATACCAGATGTGAAAAATCTTTTGAAAAAAGTTTATTTAGAACCTCCCAAATATAAGTCTTTGCTTATTTTAGGTATTTTATTTAAACTATTTTTAAGTTAAGGTAAACATTCCTGGACAGAGCTTCTGGGGCACTTGATATACCTCATCGTCTTATGCTATGATTAATCCAAGCCGAAAAAACAGTCTACTTTTCTAGATGTTCGAAAAATTTTTCTGGCAATGAATGTTAACAATTCCCTGTAATTTCCTCCCTTCAAAATGAATGGTAATTCCTGTTTTTCCAAAAAACATACGGTATCTAGAAGTGTGCTGCCTGAAAGCTTGACTAAAACAACTTTCGATTCTTATTTTGCCAAACTGAGTTAAATTGGCTACACATCTCACATGTAACGGAGAAATTTCATGTCTCCTCTTTAGAGCCCTAAAACTATTTAAATCGTTGACTCCGCTGCTGGTCCACCCAGTTTTTCTGTATAAAACAGAAGACATCGCCAACAATACAATTTGTTCTTTTGCAACCACATAACCAAGAGTTTCCATATAACAACTTGATTTAAAATATCAAACTACGTTTTTTATTCGTTTTTAAAATTATCTAAAATAGGTGTTGGTCTTCCATTTTCAATGGTCTCCTGTTTTTCTTAAAAATTATACAAGGAGACTTTTCAAGTAGGGAGTTGATCGATTACGCAGCGACACTCATCCATGTTTAATTGCACGCACACTACAGCCGGCAACCAAAACGGCTACTAACGAGTGAGAAGTGAGTAACCAAATCAAAAAATGGTAACAAGCCCACATAATAGTCGCAGCGTCCTACGCACTCGGGCGACCGCGATAAGACACGAGCCGGTACCGACGGTCCCCGACGGACTACCAAGTGTATCCATAAACGAAAATGGTAACAACCGACAACCAAGTCGAGGCGAGTCAGCTTCATCGTGTTCACAAAACCTAGACACTATAGGGCGCATTAAATTCGTGGGGCTAATTTGCTATTTACTGAATTACTATTACATATCGCTGTTGGTAAACAAATAAATGAACTTATTTCACAGTACTTAGTCATAAAATATTTATTTTTAAAATTTTTAACTGTTAACAATGGTTACATGGACGCTTCGCCACTGAACTACAATAAGTGCATAAGGGTTGAAGATGTGGTAGATTGCGTGACAGCTTCCTACTTTGATGGTACGTAGTCGTGCCATAAGTTCTGTCCCATGATAATCTCATGATAAAAATGAAACAAGATAAATATATTTATATGAAAGATATTATTTATTCGACAACATTTTTAGAATTCATAATCAAACAGTTTTATTCAAAATGTCCCCCCTTGGCCTTCACACACTGCTTCAATCTCGCGGGCCACTCATCTATCACTGCACGCACAGCTTCCAAAGGAATAGCTGCCGCTGATCGGATCAAATCCGCTTTCAGGAACTCGATATTACGGTGGGCTTTGGAGCAGGCCAACTGCTCTAGCAGGTCCCACAACTTGTAGTCTAAAGGATTGAGGTCCGGACTCCCTGAGGGCCAATCTTCCGCAGCAATGAACTCTGGCACATTGCTTTCCAGCCAGCGCTGCGTACTCTTAGGGCCGGTTTATCAATGCATGGTTAAATAAATCAACTAGTAGTTAAAAATAATCTGACGGTCAAAATGTTTATCCACCGGCAGTTAAATATTAACCAACAGTTAAACCCGTGTGAAACCTGACCGCAACTTGGATGTTCCAGTTACGAGCGATAACTAGCAGTTAGGATCTGAAGCATGCGCAGATTGCAGACTTCTTCTTGTTTTGATATGTCATTCTTGTCATTTTAACCTCAAAAAGTCTGTGTCAAAACGTAAGCAAAAACAAGGTTTTTGTAAAGAATTATTGTTTGAAAATCAAGTGAAAACTTTGAAATATGTTGGGTGATATTGATGCTATGTTCGATGATGATGATGATGCGGAAATAGTAGAGTTTTTAGAATATGAAAGGAGGCCCTATATTGTACGAGAAAGAGAAGACTTCTTCCATTCATTGGACGACATAGATTTTTTTGTGAGGTTCCGCTTGAAAAAAATTACGGTTTTATATATTTTATCTCTCATCGAGGAAGAACTCGAATCTGTTACCGACAGGTAGGTTATTTCACGTTTTTAGAACGCTGCTGATGTTAATACCTATAGGTACTTTTTATTTTCTGCGAATATTTTTTCTGTAATATTTAAACAATATGGAAATAGATATGTGGATTTCATTGAATTTTATTTAACTTATCATGAACAATTCTATGACAAATGACTCCCTGTGGTAACTATTAATTGTATATTTATTTCAGAAATCATTCTATTTCACCCATCAATCAGTTATTACTGACTCTACGCTTCTATGCTACGGGAAACTTCCTACTAACTGTTGGTGATTTCATCAAAGTTAGTAAGAGCTCTGCCTCAAAAATAGTGAAGAAGGTGTCTGAGGCAATAGCTACCTTCTCAGGTAGATTTATAAAAATGCCAAGTAATGATGAGGAAATAAGGAAAGCCAAAAGTAGCTTTTATGAGAAAGCACATGTGCCTAGAGTGATTGGATCCCTTGACTGCACACACATAAAAATTCAGTCACCTGGTATGGTATCTATTTGTATCTATAGAACTTGTACTTATAAAACTTTACCCTTACAGGAGGAAATAATGCAGAACTATTTCGCAATCGAAAAGGCTATTTCTCCATCAATGTACAAACCATTTCAGCCCCCAATCTAAAAATATTAGACATTACTGCACGCTGGCCTGGAAGTCAACATGACCAGATAATTTTTGATAATTCATCAATAAAAAGTAGATTGGAAAGAAATGAATTTGGCAATAGCCTTTTAGTAGCAGACAGTGGTTATGCAAATTCAATGCATGTAATAACACCACTTTTGGAAGCAAGAACACAAGTCCAACAACTTTATAATGAAGCTGGTATGTTTCTATCTCTTATAATCATTACATTATATGGAGCTGTTTTTTATTTTACTCATAAAATAATTTAATTCACTAAAAGCATGAACCATATTTTTTCATTGTACAGATACTACACTGCATTATTTTTTCTATACAAGGAGAATTAAAGTTAATGAGTTTGTTTTTCATTTATTTTTTCAGTTACAAGAACCAGAAATCCTGTGGAAAGGCAATACGGTTTGTGGAAACGACGATTTCCAGTTCTCTCAACAGGGTTGAGACTAAAATTACAGACAACCCTTACAGTGATCGTTGCCACAGCTGTGCTGCATAATATAGCAATTGACCAAAATGAAGAGCAGCCCCCTGATATTCCAAACTTGGATGAAAACATAATCAATTATGAAGAAGATATCAGTGTTGATCCTCCTGAAAATAACTTCATGAATGCCAGGGAACTGTTATTAAGTGAATATTTTCCAGGGCTTTTAAATTAATTCTTTACTTGTACTATTTATGAATTAAATACAAATAAAAAATAGCAATCTTTAATTTCAAAATTATGTGTTATATTTATATATATTACACATTTTATAATTTATCATTTGTTCTAATCTGCAGTTCCATTTTCAAAATGTCTTGCTTCAGTTTCAGGTTTTCCATTTTTATTTTATGCTCTGCAGCATTTTGCTTTTTTATTTCTTCTGCAATCGACATTTGCAAATTCACCAGCTCTAACTTCTTCATAGCCAGTTCTTCAAATTTCGAAGAAGCAGAAGACATGCTTTTCTTTTTCTTAATTACTGGTCTTCGCCGACATGACCATGGCTCTAAAATAAAATTTTTGTATAGTAACATAAATATGAGATATCTATATACCTATATTTATAAGAAATATTTCACAGATACTTTTAGAGCTGGGAGTCTCTGCTACACTGATACTGTCAGTATTATGGTCGGTTACTTCCATATCTTCTCCACTTACGTCCACCTGTAGCACATTCGGCCTTGATACTTTCAAAGCTGGATGAATGTGTGTTTGAAGGTAGGAAGTACTGGGTGTGTTCCACTCAATATCTTCATGCGTTTCTACTATCACACTGCTGTTTTCAATCTCCTCAATTTCAACTCCTCTTACACCTGTAATCAAAATCAAATTAAGCATGATCCAAAGGTAAAAATAAAAAAACAGAACTTTCCTGCTATGGCATCTGAATCATATTGAGACTGAAGACCCTCAACAGAAACTATGATAGTTTGTAATAGTTCCTTCTCTTCTTCAGTCTCAGGTTTGGGTTCTTCTTTTGAAGCACCACCACCTGTTCCAAGCATATAGCACTTATGGCTGCTATATTTTTTTTTCAGCTCCTTCTTAATGGCCTCATACTTTGTTTTTAGCTGTTTTGCTGTTCGTGGCTAAAAATTTATTCATATATGAACAATTACGGAACAAAAACTAATATTGCATTCATACTCTTTTCACTACAGTTTATATCTTATTTAACAGAGTTGGGAAATGTTGCCAAAACTGTATATTGGAAATCAATTAATTTATCACATACTATAGCAATTGAAAAGTATATGTATATACTCACCACTCCAGTTGTAAATGAGTTGAATTCTCTTTCAATTTTTATCCACGCTTCTTCCTTCTGTCTCCAAGTAACTCCATCCGTTTTTTTATTTTCTATCACTGCCTTAAATTTGTTGGACAGTTTCAACAAGTTTTTGCGGTCGCTGAGGCTGAAGTTCGCTCCTCTTTTTTGTTTTCCCTTTCCACTGTTTTCTTCGCTTTCCATTTTTCCAAACAATCCGTACTAATTTCGTAAAACAATGCCACACGAATAAAGAAAACTTCAAGATACGTGATAGCAAAGACGTCATTGCGTGATAGTGATACACTTTCACACAAATATATCGAATAGGTTAAATTTTTGACATTTGCGTCATTTGTCATTGTCTGACATTTTTTGTGGGAAATTTAAATTCAACGAATAAAAATTCATTTCCGCTCAGTTCAGTTCTACCAACCTTGTAGAAACGAAGGCAAACCAAAAGTTATAAAACTGACAGCTATTGATTGATTGATAAACACGCTTCATAACATAACTGCCAGTTTAGCCTAACTTGAGGTTACTTAACAGGCACTTTTAACTGTGCTTTGATAAACCGGCCCTTAGCCTTGTGAGGGGGGGCGGAATCCTGCTGGTAGACCCAGTGTTGGTTGGCAAACAATGTACCACTTAAAGGCTTGACGATAGGATCCAGTATGTCGCTCTGATAGTTTGCCGCTTTTGTTTTCACGCCCTGTTTACAGAAATGGAGCTGAGTGACCCCTTCGTAGGACACCCCCCACCAAACCATGACTGACGCAGGGTGGTGGCCTCTCTCAACTCTCGGAATGATCTCCGAAGCTTCCTGTGAACTCCTTGCATACACTTTGTCATTTTGTCGGTTGAATTTTTCTTCTATGGTGAAGATTTTCTCATCCGTGAACAAAATCTTTCGGAATCCCCCAGCTGCGTACCTCTCCAAGAGCTTCTTGGATCTTGTCGCCCTGATGTGTCGCAAGGTGGCCGTAAGTTGCTGGCCCGTACGTCTCCGGTAAGCCCCTAGCCCTAGGTCTTGTTTAATGATGCGCGACATCGTCCGGACAGGAATCTTCATTTCCCTGGATAGGATCTTCTGCTTCCGGAGTGGATTCCTTTGAATCCTGGCTTTTACGGCTTTGATGGCTGCTGGAGTCCTTACTTGACGAGGTCTTCCGCTTCTTGGCCTGTCATCAACAGAGGACGTCTCATTGTACCGCTGAATGGTCCTAGACACAAATTTACGCGATATTTGAAGGCCGCGTAAGAGTTCAAAAATCTGACTAGCACTGTGATTACACTTATGTAAAGCTATCACTGCAATACGGTTCTCTGCCTTGCCCCACTCCATCGTTATGCTTCGAGAGATCAATACAAACTGAGGTATATGTAATTACCCGAAAAGCGCTTAATCAACTGACACCACAATGTAAACAATCGGACAAGTATTAACAGGTCTACACTTGTTTGAAAACGAGGGACAGAACTTATGGCATGACTACGTATAATAATCGTTATTAAAAAAAGAGACTTTGACTTCGCAAGATTTTGTTAGTAGATCAATCAATTAAGTGGGGTATGATTGTATCCAGTCCGTTTACTAACAGATTCCTTAACCATACTATACTATATTTTATATTTTTCATTTTCCAAAAGTATCACGTCCTCTTTGCAATTCTGAATTTCTGTCATGTTATTCATTTAAACTACATTCTGTGTTTCGTACTAACCTGAAGCATCGTTCTCTTCAAAATCAGCAGGCGACGTCCTGAACCCCGCCGAATGGTCCGCATTCACCGGTTTCCAATAACACAGTCCATTCCCCCCACCGAAAACAGATTTACTACTGGTGAACTTGTTGGGGTCTAAAATGTTCTCCACACTGAAGGCCAGCCTCCTACCCGACGAGGAATTGCTGTTGCAGTCCTTGGGACTCCTCGACCTATCACTACAAACATCGTCACTGGTACAGTCTTCCCCGTTTCCCCGTTCCACTAGATCACTGTCCGACAGGTGTTCTTGGTGCCTATTGTCACTATCTGGTAAGTGTCTGGAGGTACTCGTAGGCCGCCTGGGAAAGTCCAAGTCGCCTGAGTGTTGCCTGTGGCTGGGCGATGGTTCCAGGTCTTCGTGGTGGTGGTGATGGTGGAGGTCGTCCGACCTCCGAAGAGGGTCTTCCTCGCATGGTTGGTGACCTGAAACGAAGTTATACTGATCTTAATATAAAGAGACGAATTCTGATGGAGTTGATAAATAGTGTTGATCCATCTAACCAATATTAATAGAAACAGCCATATTTTCAATCTGTAATCTTCCAGAACGCTGCAACTCCAGAAAAGGATATAAGAGAGTAGCTGTCCAGGTATTCGTACTGTATGGAGTCACATGAAACTCAGTTCTTGAATTATGACTTGACGCCAGATATAGTAAAATAAAGATGTGCAACTGATTCTGAAATGGACCGAGACGCCTTCCTCGATGTCATCGAGACCATCAAATGTGTTCTGAGATCGTATGACGCCATCAAAGCTTGTGATCTGAGCCCTATTTCATGATGCATAGCCCACACACTAGACCGACGCAAATTGTTTTTATCCAGTGTTGTTGGTACTAGAGAATTCCTAACGTAGATCCCCATGACTAACGTGGGGCTATAGGGGGATACAGGGGAAATGAGGGGGACGCCACACGGACTCTAGCGACACACGTATGCATCAAACATGCGCACATTCTGGCCCTGCCTTAGAGATCCGCCGGGTGGTACCTCCGTGTTCGACAGTCAGAAACCGTCTACCACCTACGGAAAATCATAAACATCGATAGCCAAGAGAAAAATTCTCTTGGGACAGGATTCGAACCCGCGCAGACCCCGGCGACTGATTAGTAGACCCATAACGTCTATCACTACGCCATTGCTGCTACCTTAGCTAAAATTTAACTCTATCTACTTCAATTTGGAGTCTAAAAGCTCTAAGAAAACGTAATTTCGAATTATAACTAGTAGTTTTACGATACCGTTTTAAAAACTTTTTTTAGGTAGCGACCAAGGCCTAAGACCAAAAATCAAACCCCATGCCCCATACAAGGATTTCATTAGAAAGGCGTAAAAATAGCCTTTATTAGGCAAATATTAAACAGATTTGGTAGTTATGTCAAAAACAGTTAGGTGATGTTGGGGTACCTAGATTACCAGACCCATGACCGAGTGTGGTAGCCCCCATACTTCGCACTTCTTCGACCAGCATAACCTTTTCATAACCCTTTTACTTAGCAGACTCAGGGGTAATATCAATAGGGCCCGCAAAGAGACCAAAGTAACGGGATCTAGAGACTTTCCGGCCGGGTTTTATTAACATGATCATAACGCTTTATACATCATAACCATTATCATTCACGGCTCCAAAAGGGTCAGAGAACATCCAGCAGAATGATAGTTCAAAGGGACCCTAGAGCTAAAGATGACTGGGTGCAGGTGGTATTGGGAAGCAGAAACTCACGGCATTAGCTAGTCATTTCAATCCATCTGGCAGTGTCAATTCTAGAAAAAATTTTGGCTTTTGAGCAACCCATACTTTGTGTCCTGCAACCACGCTCACCCTCTCCACAGCTTTACTAACTAGCAGATTAAAAAGTGGGGACCAAGAGCACCCAGAAGATGGAGATCTTAATAATCAGCTTCAAATGTTTCTAGATTTGACTTTAATAGAGGAAAATGGTTCTTGCAATTTGTAGCTGCGATGTTGTAATGCTGCCTCCCCAAGGTCTGGAGGCGAAGTATCCTCCTCCTCAATATCCAACTCATCATCATCCTTGGAGCAAGGCTCGTTGTCGCTTTTGAAATCGGCAGATTGTACTCTATTCATCATGAGCATTGCCATTCCGGGCACTACCATTGGACTACGATCATTCTGACTGAAGGATCAACTGGGCCTTCGAACAGAATATGCAATTACGTCAGCATCCTCGTCGATGCCTTGGGCGTATTTTATCCAAAGCCTTACTACTGAGCTAGCAGACTAAAAAAAAGAGGTTGCAGTAATGGACTTCAAACTTTGCCGGGTTGGATTTTGTTGTCAGAGCGACGGAAATGGAATTTTCTATTATTGCAGGTATTTGAAACCCTTACTCAACATATAGAACTTACTACCAAGAGCCCAGCTCCCAGTTTCAAATCTTCAAAGGAACGTGGTACTTTGAGCGACCTCGAAAACTTTCTCCACCGCCTTACTAACTATCAGACCAAAAACCAGATGTTGAAGTTTTGATGGCAGAGCGACGGCAAAGGAAATGTCCATAATTACAGGTATTCAAATTGTTACCTGTGACATCGAAATGCTGACACCTAGTAAGGTCCAGGCGGGGTATCCTCCACTTCAACATCCACCGGCAATTCTTCGTCGTCCTCAGAACAATACTCGTTATTGCTTCACGAATTAGCAGGAGACACTTCATCATGATCATTGTCATTCTGGGCACTTCACGATACCAATTAGCCGAAAGGGCCTTAAAACATTCTGCCTAGAGGAGCCTTAGAGCAGGGAATGCATTCTCGTCGGTGGCTGTCAAGATGCCGATGGTCAGGATGATCGAGGGCAGGTGGTATTAGAAACCCTAACTCAAGATGTAGAAGAACCCCCTACCAAGACCCCAGCTTCCAGATTCAAATATTCAAAGCAACATGACTTTTGAAGTGACTTGTGCCGCGCTTCCAGCAGATATGCGTATTTTCTCCAAAGCCTTACTACTACTTAGCTAGCAGACTCAAAAAACAGAGGTTGCAGTAATGGACTTCAAACTTTGCCGGGTTGGATTTTGTTGTCAGAGCGACGGAAATGGAATTTTCTATTATTGCAGGTATTTGTAAATTCTGGGCACTTCACAACATCAATTTGCCAAAAGGGCCTTAAAACATTCCGTATGAAAGACCAGAGGAGCCTTAGAGCAGGGTATGCGGTGGCGTCAGCATCCTCGTCAGTGACTGGCAAGGTGTCGATGCTGAGGAATCCCTAACTCAAAAGACAGAAGAACCTACTACCAAGAGCCCAACTTCCAGTTTCAAATAGGTATTTAAAGCAACATGACTTTTGGAGTGACTTGTGCTTCGCTTCCAGCAGATTTGTTTACTTTCTCTGAAGCCTTATTAACTAGCAGACTTAAAAGTTAGCGATCAAGGTTACTCAAAAAACAGAGGTTGAAGTAATGGGCTCTAAACTTTGCCGGGTTGGATTTTAATGGCAAAACGACAGAAAAGGAATTTTCTATTATTGCAGGTATTTGTAAATTGTTACCTGTGAGGTCGAAATGCTGTCTTCTAGTGAGGTCCACAGGGCAAAGCGAGGTATCCTCCGCTTCAACATCCACCTGTAACTCTTCGTCGTCCTCAGAACAAGGCTCGTTATCGGTTCTCGAACCAGTCGGAGGCACTCTATCCATCATGAGCATTGTCATTCTGGGCACTTTACGATACTAATTAGCCAAAACGGTCTTAAAACATCCCGACTAAACGACCTAAGGGGCCTTAGAGCAGATGATACGATCCCGTCAGCATCCTCGTCGGTGACTGGCGAGACGTCGACCGTCGAGATGGTCGGGTGCGAGACATGGGCGGAGTCAGGCCTCCTATTGGACGCCGCTCTAGCTCGTGATTCGTCGAGGGGCGTAGTAAGCAGGGACCTAATTACTGATAATGACGGTGCCGATTACGCGAACAAAGCCGGGCGATTTCGAGCGCTGCCGAGCGGGGGGCGGGCGGTAATTAGCAAGGCGGGGGGATTAGATGTGGCGTGTTACGAGCCCGGTTTTATGCTGGTTGCGGTTGCGGTTGTCGGCAAATATAGATTTTCATGTTTGGATGAGGTGAGCGGGTGACTTTTCGACTCATACTAATTACGTATCAGATTAAATGTCGAATGTGAAACGATTCTTGTATAACTTGGTGAATGATTCTTAATATACCTACCTACGTAAATTTACGTAGAGCTGAAAAGAGAGGTAGATTGATACCAGGAATTTTATCCCTAAAGCTTTTTTGTACAAAAATAAGGTTGTTTGTCACTTACGAATTGTCGGTAGGGACAGGCATGTAGAGGGCGTTCTCTAAAGACCAGATCTCATCAGAGGAGATCAAGGGAAACCTTCAACGAGGATTTTACGTCCAGAACGTCACAGTAATGGAAAAAATCCGTAAGCATGAATTGGCATCTGGTTACATTCCTCTGGCTTACCGCGAAATATGTAACCTTGCTGTTCCCACGGCACCCTGTGGATATCTCAGGAAAGATGTTCATCTTGGTATTAGAGAGCAGCCAGCCACCCTTCAAGATTATAAATCTGGTACAAATTTTGAGCGTAGGCAGTATTAATCATCTTACGTTACTGCTATTGTGGTATGTATGTACGAGGTCTGTGAATTAAGTGATGAAACCGATTTTTTTTAATTTTGTCATTCAAATATAATTGTCTACAATTTTATATTGTCACCCTCAAAATTTCCTTCTGAAGAAGCCACACAGCGCTGTTTTCGACTGTCCCAAAATGGGTTCTATTGAGGTGGAAAAAAAAAGAACAAGGACTCAAGTCAGCCATACATTTTTTCGTTTGAGCTTATCCCTTATCAAGCCGAGAACCTGAGATTGGCCTCGTGTGGGTAAAGACGAAATAGGTCGTGAATTCAACAGCGGGGAGGGAGGGGAGTCTAGATTGGGGCTTCTCGCGATTCGGGTCTAGTACGGTAATTTTTGTACTGAGATAGAGCAATAGATATACAGGGTGTCCGCAAAGTTGGGGTTTTCCTTTTCAGAAACAACTACCCTTGAAGTAACAAAGATAATGTGTAGTGAAACGAGGGCGACCAAGTAAAATAAAATAAAAAAAAAGTACTCACTCTCCAGTTGACGAGAAGGGCTAAGTACGTCTCTGCCCGAAATCATACCGCTCTAACAGAAAATGAAATCAGCTGATGCGCTACCGAGCAGACGCAGGCGGTGGTGCAGACCACGAACAGAGGTAACAAATATGACGGCGTTGCCGCGTTTTCAGTTTTTAGGTAAACGTATCTACTTTATAGGTATTGTTCGAAGTCATCGCCGTTTGATTCAACAACACAGGTGCGTGCACGACGTAGCCAAGCATCGGTGCAGGCTTTGAGAATGGAGAAAGTTCGTCAACCATATGCACTTCAGTTTTGTACACTAAGAGTTTCATTTCTCCCCAAAGAAAAAATCACATGGTGTTAAGTCTGGAGATCGCGGAGGCCACGCTACGGGTCCATTACGTCCGATCCACCTATTCGGAAATAATTCATTCAAAAACTCACGTACTTCGCGTCTAAAATGGTGCAGAAACCACATTGATTGTCTTACACTTAATGGCACATCTTCTAACAAGGAAGGCAAAATGTTGCGTAAAAAGTCTAGGTATTGTATCCCGTCCAATCGATTTGGGAGAATAAATGGTTCAATGAGCATACCGTTCACCATGCCAGCCCAAACATTCACCGAAAATGTTTGTTGAAAATGTGCCCGACGGACAGCGTGCGGATTTTCTACTGACCAAACATGAGTGTTGCGAAAGTTATTCACCCCATTACGTGTGAACGTAGATTCGTCTGTCACCAATATGCACTTCAAAAAGTCCGGATTATTGTCACGTTGATGCAACAACCACTCACAAAACCGCACTGTTGCTGGAAAATCGTCAGGTTGAAGGGCTTGTACACGTTGGACGTGAAACGGATACAGCCCCTCTTCACGCAGCGTTTGCCACACTTTAGTTTTTGATACTTGCACTTCTCTAGCCACGTCTCTAGTGCTTGTTGAGGGATTCTCGTCTACGCGATTACCTCTACAAGCGTGACCGTAACCGTCGGTTGAAGGTTGCATACTGACCTGACACACTGACTCCGACCCAGTTCTGTCGTCGGGTTGAGCCAGTGACCTTGTACCACTCGGTGATGTCGCGGGTCGCGGCTACAGGACGGTATTCAGATATTTTTGATGTTGCAGAGCCCTTTATTTCGGTTCCCTTAAGACATTGGTGTATATGGTACTAAGAAAGAAAGAAATTGCTTATGTTTTCAAGATCTACACGTCGTGTAAAGGAAAACCCCAACTTTGCGGACACCCTGTATATCATTTTCTTGAACCAAATGGCATATTTTGGCATGTAAGACGAGCACACACAAAAAAGGGTGCTATTACATGATTTTATATGAACTTATGCTATTGATTCGAGATCACAAATACTTAAAATGAGGTAATTTCGTTGTTTTAAAGAAACGTAGCACTTATATTTGAAGAATTGACCTTGACTCAAAGATAGAAACGTACCGAAGGCATGGTCCTCAATTGAAGATAGTTGTTTTTGTACCAAGATCACTCTTTTTTGTGTGCACATGCGTTTTTTTTCATCTAACTCCGCCCTTGCACAGGATCAAATCAATACCATCTTAGGATCTGACAGCGACGAATTTTTTGAACTTTACCGATACACCATACCTATAGGTTTTTCGGGCTTTGACGTCATGCCGCGGGCCAAAAATGCCCACTTAATGCTACACCTAGATACCTACATAAATTTGGCTACAATATTTTTGTGATAATTTTTCATGAAAACCAGAAGGTAGATACAGGGTGGTCCATAAGTCCTTTGAAATTTCAAATTTGAATAAAATTTAACGGGTGAGCGTGAGCGGCGCGGGCGAGGTGGGGGCAGTATCTTCAGTGTCTGGGAATTCAGTCGCCATGGAGTGTTTCACTGGAGCGGATCGTGCTTTTTGTGTGCGTGCGTTTTATCAAAATAATGATTCGGCAACCATTGCGCGGCGTAAATATCGAGAATACCACAATTTACACAATTTTACAAAGTGTCCAACAGCTCAAACGATTAAGAACTGGGTTGCTAAGTTCGAAGAGACTCGTTCGACGTTAGATAAACAGCGGTGGGGTCGACCAAGGACAACTCGTATTGAAGAAAACATCAACATTGTGGCACAGTCTGTTCGTCAAAATCCTACCCAGTCTACTCGTAAGCGTTCCAGTGCACTAAACGTACCCAGAACATCTTTACAGCGGATTTTAAGGAAAGATTTACGTCTGCACGCTTACAAAATTCAGTTAGTGCAGGAATTAAAAGATAATGACGCTATTCAGAGACTAAACTTTGCGAATGAAATGTTGAATCGATTTTCTTCGCTCAATAATGTGTTGTTCTCGGACGAGGCTCACTTCCATTTAAACGGGCATGTAAATAAACAAAATTGCCGTTTTTGGAGCCCCGAAAATCCAAGGCGTAAGCATCAGAAGCCCTTACACAGCCCTAAAGTTACAGTTTGGGCTGCTATGTCAGCGCATGGCATCGTAGGCCCTTATTTTTTTGAGGACGACAGAGGTCGCGCATTAACTGTTACTTCGGAGCGGTATGTAGCAATGATAGAAGAGTTTTTGACACCAGCATTGCAGAATTTTTCAGGCTATAATACGCAGACCTGGTTTCAACAGGACGGAGCAACTGCCCACACCTCCAACACTTCTATGCCCGTCGTCTGTCAACTTTTTCCCAGCAAAGTAATTTCTCGAAGAGGAGACATTTCCTGGCCACCACGTAGTCCAGATTTGACCCCAATGGACTTCTTTTTATGGGGCTACCTCAAGAGTAAAGTGTACGACACCACTCCGCGATCAGTTGATGTCCTGAAAGACAATATCCGAAGAGAAATGGCAAGCATTACAGTGTTGACTTGCCGCGCAGTCATCGACAATTTTAGACGTCGTTTATATGAGTGCCGTGATCGTAATGGATTGCATTTAGACGATGTGATTTTTAAAACATAATTCCCATTCAATAAAGATGATAACAAAATATAATAATTCTTCATAATGTAACTAGTTTGGTTTTATTCCTTTTTTTCCAGCTCAAAGGACTTATGGGCCACCCTGTACTTGTCGACAAATTACACTGGTGGAAAACAATTTTGTACATGTCTCAATATCTTAATCTGTTTTCGAGAAATGAAAATGTGACAAGCAAGCATCTCGGACCTATGTTTGTATGAACGTCTTTTATATTTCAACGTGCTCAATCGGCTTTTCAGTTTTCCTAACAACACTCCCTTTCTAGTTAATTTCACATCCATTGTCAATCAATTTAGGTTCACACCTGAACTGATAACGAACGTGCCTGAGTCATTGTTTCAATCTGGGGTAAAATAATATGTCATCTTTGTCGTTAGATGTCAGGTATTTCTTTTTTACTTTTCATCTGGCAACATTGTCCCTTTCCACGTCTAAGGGGCACCGCCCACCGCGGCGCCGCTGCAGAGAATCATCGTTCTTTCCGTGTATACGTTTTGTGCGTAGATTAGTCAGTTCGCCTGGCGGTGATCTTGGATAGGAGTACACGGATAGACATTTCTCTATCATTACAAGTTTTAAGCCCAAATGTATGGGAGAATCTATAATGTGTGACTAACAGAGCGATGGAAATACAAAAACCATTATATGTCATTCTCAAATTTTTTGCCATGACAATACTTCATCGACCAGTGGAGTAGGA